TTTTTTTACTGTTGGTGTAATGTTTCTGTCACATCTAACCAATCCTCTTTCCTATGGAGATTTATATTATTTACTTAATTATTTCAAAAACACTTTAATTTCCAAATTCAATTGTCTCTCTAGTTAGTTTTAAACTTTCTTAATTTCCTAATTTCTTAGCCAGTCTTTTGGTTTTAATTATTTTTAAATCCTTGTATTTCTTTCTTTGATTTTACCTTTAAATTTTAATCCTGGTACAAGGATCACTCATCAACTGGTATAATTCTATTATTCAGAAGACCTCTATAGTTTTTGAAGTTGTGATATTTCAAATGTGCTTTAAAAATTTGGGAAACCTAGTATCCTTAAATAGGCTCTGCTCAGGCTGAGCATGATTTTTTTCCCCCATGGCTCCCAGCATTCTTACTCCCAAGTTGCTTGCACTTGCTTACTCCAAAGTTACTAACTCCCAAGTCCTTCAGAGCACATGTGGATAATCTGGCTTCTCATGTAGAGACTCCACTATCCTCCTCTGACACCCTGTCACTAGTCTCTGCCTCAGACAGGTCTCCACTGTTCAGAAATGTATCTGTTCTCCATTCCACCCCCCTTCCGGAAGTCTAAGTCGGCCAACATTATATCTCAACCCCTGGCTCAGTATGAGATGCTGTGAAAGTGCTGTCTAAGTACCCAAAGATTGTCTGACACTGGGTAGGGAGGAACAAGCTAAAACTCAATCTTAGTAAGATAAAGAAACATAGTTTTAAAGGCCTACTAATGCTAGTCAGATTCTACTGGGTTCTAGGTTTAGTACTGGAAGGGACTGTATTCCCCTGAACTAAATGGTTCTCAACTTAGGGGTCCTCTCGGATTCACAGCTCTTGGAGCTGTGGCCAAGAGAGCTTTTGCACAATTTCATCTTGTGTGGTATTTGCAACCCTGCTGGGAATGGGAAGTGCTACTGATGTTGATCATCCAATCAATCAATCAATCAATCAATCAATCAATCAATCAATCAATCAAAACAGAGCTGGAAAGAGACCTTGGAGATCTTCTAGTTTAATCCCCTGCTCAAGCAGGGAACCCTATACCATTTCAGATAGGTGGCTGTACAGTCTCTTCTTTAAAACCTCCAGTGATGGAGCACCTTCAACTTCTGAAGGCAAAGCTGTTCCACTGGGTAATTGTTCTCACTGTTAGGAAGTTAATTCCAGGTTTGTTTGTTTGTTTGTTTGTTTGTTTGTTTGTTTGTCAAAAATGTTCAAGATGACAAGTATAGGTATGAACATAAACATAAACAAAGGAAGTAAATACAAAGTAAGACAGGGACGGTAGGCATGCTGGTGCGCTTATGCATGCCCCCTTTACAGACCTCTTAAAAAGGGAGTGAGGTCCACGGTAAACAGTTTGAAATTGAAATTGACACTGTGAGGGTTTGAGGCTGTAACAATGGAGTCGGGTAGAGCTTTCCAGGCATTGACCTCTCTGTTGCTGAAATCGTATTTCCTGCAATCGAGTTTGAAGTGGTTTACCTTGAGTTTGTATCGATTGTTTGCCCATGTACTATTGGTTAAAACTGAAGAAGTCGTTGACAGACAAGACATTGTAGCAGACAATTTTGTGTACTATGCTTAAATCGAACCGCAAACTGCGCAATTCCAGATTGTCCAAGCCCAAAATTTTAAGCCTGGTGGCATAGGGAATTCTATTGTGAGTAGAGGAGTGGAGTACCCTTCTCGTGAAATACCTCTGAACCCGCTCAATCATGTTAATGTCTGAAATAAAGTGTGTGGGTTCCAGGCAGAAGGGCTGTATTCAAGAATTGGTCTGGCAAGGTTTTGTATGCCTTAGTTAGCAATACAATATTACAGGAGAAGAATCCTCCGGAGATACGGAGGATCCAAGACTTACGCACTTTCCGCCGTGCCCTAAAAACGTTTTTATTCCAACAGGCTGGTCTGGCCTAACTCTCCCTTTTAAATTGGGTTTTAAATGTTTTACATAAATTGGATGTTTTTAAATTTGTTTTTGAGCCCAAATTATTTAATCTATTTTTAATAGCTTTTAACTTTTGTATCTTATTTGTATTTTTATCTTGGCTGTTCACCACCCTGAGTCCTCTGGGAGTAGGGTGGTATATAAATATTATTAAATAAATAAATAAATAAATGAATGAATGAATAAATAAATAAATAAAATTAGGTTAACAACTCTTAGTGTCCTTTTGGCAATGCTGTTACAGTGAGCTCTGGGGCTTAGATCGTTTGAGATGAGTACTCCTAAGTCCTTGACAGAGTGAGTGTCATCTATGAGATCATTTCCACCCAACTTGTATTTGATGTTTTGATTTTTATTGCCAATGTGTAGGACAGAACATTTATTACTAGAAATTGCTTCTCTCCTTGATTAGTTTCCATCCATTGTTTCTTGTCTTGCCTTCTGGTGCTTTGGAAAACACCAGAAACTAAGACTTTTTTTTTCGTTGGCTACCTCTCAACTGGACTACTCCAAAGCATTCAGAAGTTACAAGTGATCCAGAATGTGGCAGCTTGAATTGTTTTGGGTGCACCTCACAGCACCCATGTATCACGTCTACTCTGAGAGTTGCACTGGTTGCCAGTTGGTTTTGGGGTGCCGTTCAAGGCTGACATCTTTAAAGTGCTACATGGTCAGACTTAAGCATCTGCAAAACCAATGTTTCCCAATAACAACTGTCCACCCAATAAAGGGGAGGAACTCTTTATATGTCTCCTCATTCAGAGACTGCCATCCTCATAGACCACAGAAGCAGTTACCAATCCCCTGCATGGAACAGTATTAACCCCAACATTTGCACAGTCCCCTGCCTCCTGGCTTTCAACAAATTAGTAAAAATTTGTTCCATCAAGCCATGGGGACCAATTTGCTACACCTATCAAGAAGGAACTGAGTAGGTCTTCCAGTTTTATGATATTATTTATTATAAGATATTTATTTTTAAACTGGATTTTGTAGTGTTTTAATTCCTGTTATGGATTGGAGAATTGAATGTGTCTCAGAGACATCTAATTGGAATGCCCCCCCCACCAAGTCTTGTAAGTAAATAAATAAACTTCTGCTTCAAATTCTTTAAATCATGGGCATTGACAGAGCTAGCAGGAAATGATGAAAAACATGGGACTGCTTCATCATGCAAGTAATACAATTTTCATCAGACATCAGATGCAGGGCAACACTAATAAAACATCACTGCGTAAGTGTTGTTGTTTTGGTTTGCTGCAGAGGTCACAGATTCAAAAGCTTAGAAAGAGACTGAATTGAAGGGAACTCAAAATGGTCACTGGGTAAACAAGGTAAAGAATATGTACATAATGTAAAGAAGAATGTTGATATGTATAATTACTGGAACACAGTGTTCAATTTAACATACTCAGAAATGTACATACAAATGTAGCATTAGTTATTATTACCAAATGTTTCTTACTATCCTTTTCTCCTGTAGTTTAGCATGCAATTAACACATATACTACTTCCTCTGATTTAACAACCCTAGGAACTTTAAACTGTTAATAGCAGGAGCAATGAATGGGCTGAGTGGTTCAACACTACTCCCTGTATCTTTAAAATGACAACACATTGCTAATTTATAGCCCCTTTAATTCCTTTACTATTGCAGCCCAATTGTATTGTAACCCATCAAAGACAGCAAGATCTTACAGCAAAACATATTATTGCTTGACAAAGTTATCTACTCTGCCCCTTCCCACAGAGCTGGCTATAAACTGAAATCTTAAATTTATTTGTATGGGTTCACGTGGGTTTCCTTTGATTTTTATTGGCAGGCCTCTGTAGATCTTTGTTGCCTAGTAATACAACTAACAGCCACTCAAACATCAAACACTTTTCCTGTCCAGTAAAAGGATGAAATATATACAGTATGGAAAATAGCTTTCTAAGAAAAGTTTCAAAATATACTTGAGAAGTAATTGTGTTTTCTTTGAAGTTATACACTAAATCTGAGCTGTAGCTGTTAAAAGTCTTATTAATGGATTTGTTTAGCACCAACCTAGTTTCTTTCAGAGTTTACTCTGGATTGACATCTTCTTCCACTCACAAAATTAATTTCACTAACATCTATCTGTACATCCCATCTTTATTTTGCATTCTTTCGAGACTGATTTATCCCATTTTTTCCCCCTGCCAGTCAGCAGTTCTGTAACTAAAACAAGCTAGAAGAGCAAACGAGACAGATTAGACCTAGGTCAGCCTTCTTTTTCCTGTCCAAGTCCAAGTCCAAGTCTAAGATCTACAACCACTGCCTCCTATCAGATTGACTAAACTTCCAAGGTCAGATACACAAATGGCAACTTGCAAGGTAGATTTATGTAACAAGGACAAGGTTTATGAATACATCTTAAAATGATCGTAAATAACTTTGATTTGGAAATATTAATCTAAGGAGAAATTTCCTGACAATTAGAACAATTAATCAGTGGAACAACTTGCCTCAAGAAGTTGTGAATGCTTCAACACTGGAAGTTTTTAAGAAGAGATTGAACAACCATTTGTCTGAAAGGGTTTCCTGCCTAAGCAGGGGGTTGGGCTAGAAGACTTCCAAGGTCCCTTTTAACTCTGTTATTCTATTCTATTCTATTCTATTCTATTCTATTCTATTCTATTCTATTCTATTCTATTCCATTCCATTCCATTCCATTCCATTCCATTCCATTCCATTCCATTCTAGTTTACAGACCTCATATCTTAAAATAAAAGCATTCCAAGGCAAAAGAAAGGAAACTTTTAAAAACTTTAAAACTTTTTTAAACTTTAAAAAAAATGGCAGTGGAAATGTGCAAAAATAATCCACGCATCAGTAAGCCAAAATGACCTTACTATGTTTTTAAGTGTAGACTAGAGTCAAAACCTTTGTACTGGTATTCATGCTCATATTGTACTTTTTCGAGGAGAAGACAGCAAACTGCAGACGATGAGATTGTTCAGCTAATGTTGCTGAATGACAACAAATTACCAATCCCACTCACCTAGTAAAGCATTATGGCCATAGTCATCAGGCAAGAATCGCTTATCCACAGCACACACCAAAAGGTGATCAGGTAAGGTTGGTGACTTTGCACCAACCAGTAAAAATCCTGAAGGCACTTCAATTGGTTCATTCAAAATGGATGCTAGCCTGAGGTCTTTACCCGTCTGACAGAAACCTGGAGAGGAAGAGAAAGATTCTTCATCAAGCTTGTCAGAAAAACAAAGTTAAAGTTGGGGAGTATGAATAGCTCATCATCTATAAGACGCACCTAATTAGATTGATGTAAGATTCTACAATGAAAGATGCAGCAGCGTATATTAAGAAGACGCATGAACATAAAGGGGCAAAAGAAACCAGCAGTTTGGAAAACGTTTGCACAGAAAGTTTACCCAAAAAATGTAAACAGAAGAATAAGTAATAACAAAGAAAAGATAACAAATAGCTAGTTATGATGAAATCTGCTTTAAAGTGGGAAGATAAAAGGGAAGGGAAATTCAGCTTGGAATTTTTTCCCCTCATTTCATTATCAAGAGTTCTCTTACCATTTTTAAAACTGCACAAACAAAAAAGTAACATTTAAAAAAGAGGAAGAGAGGGGAAGACTCAGAATTTATATTTTAATCAACCTTTGCATTTCGTCCCCCACCCCACCCCCAACTGAGCAAGTTCACTTACTTGCTCAAAACTATTTATTTTTCTTTAACCTTCAGGCAAAACTCCTTAATTCAAATACTGATAATCAGGATGTATTGGCAAAGCCCTGATAAACTTTTTTTTAAAAAAACTGGCAGTGGAAATGTGTAAAAATAACCCAGTAATTCAAGGTATAGTTCAGGCACTGGTAAGCCAAAATGACCTAGCTATCATTTTAACCTTGGATTGGAGTCAAAACATTTTTAGTGGATAAGAGGGTATTTGTGTTCGTATGTTCATAAGAGTGTAGATTTGCTCTTCAAATATTTCATTGTCATTGTTTTATTATATCCCACGTGCAAAGAGTGCAATGTGCAATTTTCTGAGAAAATTATCCCCTACATGTTTTATATATTCTTTTCAGCAATTGGCAACATTAGCAAATAGGTGGGACAAATAGGTTCCAATTCACAGAATTTTGGTCCTCGACCTACGATCACAATTGAACCCAAAATTTCTGTTGCTAAGCAAGGCAGTTGTTAAATGAGTTTTAACTCATTTTACGACCTTTCTTGCCATTGTTGTTAAGTGAATCACTGCAGTTGTTAAGTTAGTAAAACAGTTGATAAACGAATCTGGCTTCCCCATTGACTTTGCTTGTCAGAAGGCTGCAAAAGAGGTCGCTGGGACACCACAGCCAACATAAATATAAACCAGTTGCCAAGTGTCCGAAATCTGATCACGTGACTACGGGGATGCTGCAATGGTCGTAAGTGTGGAAAACGGTCATAAATCACTTTTTTCAGTGCTGTCGTAACTTCGAATGGTCACTAAGTGAATGGTTGTAAGTCAAGCACTTACCTATTATTTGAAACACATTTATTTATTTATTTATTCATTTATTGGTTCGGTTTATATGCCACTCTACTACAGAGACTCAGGGTGGCTTACAACGTGTTAAGCAATAGCCTTCATACTTTTATATATACCTGTTTAGTAGGGCTTTCGGGGCCCCCCAAGCGGTATTCTTTTTCATAGAAAGTCAGCTTATTGCCCCCACAAACCAGGTCCTCATTTTACCTACCTCGAAAGGATGGAAGGCTGAGTCAACCTTGAGCCTGGTGAGATTTGAACTTGCAGTAATTGCAGGCAGCTGGTGCTACTTAACAGCACTTTAGTCTGCTGCGCCACCAAGGCTCTTTTTACATAAGCATGATATTTTCTTTTTTGAAACAACTTTTTCATTTATTGGGCAGACGATACAAATTTGACAACAAACTTCTGTTCCTCAGTAAGGAATGATTGCTTGATTCTGTCATGGTCACATTCAGCATACATAAAAACCTTCAAAAGCTCTTTGTTTTATATAGTCTTATATGAAATTTAGGGCAAATTGCAGGAACACCACTAAGTCTTCCTGAGTATATAGCAATAGCACTTAAATTTATATACCGCTTCACAGTGCTTTACAGTCCTCTCTAGGCGCTTTACAAAGTCAGCCTGTTGCCCCCAATAACAATCTCAGTCCTCATTTTACCAACTTCGGAAGGATGGAAGGCTAAGTCATATACCACATTCAGACTCCGATGCCTTGCCAACTTTCTTAGTATAAAGCTATATATTACTGTCTTCTAGTGTCCTGGACAGCCTGGATAGACTGTGACAGAATGTGACAAATAGGATTATTTTTAATGCCTAAAGCTAATGCTGGCACCAGAAGAGCCAACATGTTATTTCCAAACAGAAAACAATGCTTTACATTAAAAAAATGTAGTGTAGCAGCATATAATAAATCTCAAGAATTACCTATTTCAAATAATGTCCAGGTTTAAAAAAATAATGTAGTTGATCAATATAAAGAACTTCATATCAAACAATATTAGCACGCAGTCATTCACTAAACTTGATCTTAAAATCTATCATGGGAACTGGTTCAATTTTTAAACTTGGATATATGCTTTCTATGAACGATGCCATTTACCGATGATCTAGAATATATTCTGCCAATATACATTCTTCTTTTCTTACAGTTATACCTCAATATTTTTAATTTACAAATTAAATTAAAGAATTTTGATTGTAATCAATAATTTAACAAAACATTTTTATACCTGGCATAACAAATATGTGGGAGGAGATGGATTACAGGTATATATTAAACTTGATCTAAATTCTATTTTTCAAATCCCATGGTTTTTTAATATATACTGACATTTTCACATATTGTGTATAAATAAAAATATAAAATATGTGGACATAATATATAAAAGCTTTTGATTAAGGATAAGCTTTATTGAAGTGGAAAATTTCAGTCTGAGCTCCTTAATGACTGATCCACCATTTAAAAAGTACACACTCCGCTATGTGAAAACTGAGATAGTAATGAAAATATATTGTACTCCCTCACAATGGAAAAAAATTGGAATGTAGGAAAAAGGTCAGCTTATAATCAGTCTCCAGTATCTATTTTGCCATATATATTTTAAAATAATATGGTAATTAGTGTACAGAAAGCATATCGACCACTTAGGATGCTGCAATATACAATTTTACCAGCAGCATAATAAAACTTAAAACCAGGTCTTACATTTTATGGAAACAGTGAAAGGGACTCGTTCCTCATCACTATTATGTATTTTTACATGTAAAATCAAGCTCTGTCTGGATTTTATAATTTGGTTCCATTTTATGCTAAAGAAATAAGTCCATGTTGCTGATATAAAAAATATATATCTTAACTGTCTATAACAGGAATCCCCAACCCTAAGTCTAGGGCCTGGTGTCAGGCCGCAGCCCATTTGGAACTAAGCCCTGGAAGTGATGGTTGGGAAATGCTAGTCTATTGCATGCCTGTAAATTAACCATCCAAACAACATTAATGCCTTACCATCGGTAGTGCAACAACCTTCAGGTGGTGGTTTCATCTGATAAGTAACAGGAGGGCTACTTGTTTCTGAACCTTCATCATCATCATCATCTTCCTCCTCCTCCTCTTCCTCATTATCTAACCTATTGCCTGCTAAAGAGATCACAAGCACTATCACTGGAACTCAGATAAATTGCACTTTAGGCTCAGCAAGCAAGATAACTTTATTAGTAACAGCTGTTCCATATTTACAGCCGTTGTTTATTTGTAAGAGAGAGATAGAGAGAGAGATAGATAAGATAGATAGATAGATAGGTAGATAGGTAGATAGGTAGATGGATGGATGGATGGATGGATGGATGGATGGGCAGACGGACAGGACAAGGTAAGACAACTATGGAGATATAGATTAGATAGAGATAGAGATGATGGAGATAGAGATAGAGATGATGGAGATAGATAGAGATAGAGGTATGCATTTCTATTCGTTTCATGAGCAAACTCAACATTCCGAGGTCGGGAAAATGAGGACCCATATTGTTGGGGGCAATATGCTGACACTGTAAACCACTTAGTAAGGGCTGTAAAGCACTGTGAAGCGGTATACTGTATAAGCCTAAATGCTATTGCTATTTACTAGTCTGATGCCTTCCAAACATGCAGAATTATACATACATACATACATACATACATACATACATACATACATACATATATATATATATATATATATATATATATATATATATATATATACCAGCTGGAATCAATGAAAACTGCAGACCTATATATTTTGAGGGAACTTGATTATGGAAGATCAAACTGAATAGAATTTCAGATGTTATAGCACAGTGGGAACATTAATACAATGCACAAAATGCATACATGGGATCAGCGGTGAAATCCCCCCTGTTCTATCCGGCTCACCGAACCGGTAGTGCCAGTGGTGGGAGGCTCCGCCCACCCGCCAGGACATCATTACATCCCGGTTTTTTACCATCTGTACATGCACAGAAGGTTATGTGCATGCGCAGAAGAGGCGTGCGCACGCTCCCGCGTGCTTCCGTTCCCAAACTGGTAGCGAAAGTAAGTGGATTTCACCGCTGCATGGGATGGACATTTTGAAAGCAATCTGTACAAGTTTATAGGCAGGATCAATATGCAGCAATCATATCACCTGATTCATACATCACTCAAAACACCACAGAACCTCCATAGCTATATAGACTCCTGGGACAACTTCCAAATCCTGACAGCTGCTTCACACATGGAAGAAAGCTTCAGTGATTGAGTAACAAACATTCATGAGTGAACTCTCTCCAGGTAAAACCCAGAAAATAAATATCAATCATTATAAATTCAAATAAATTTTCTAATAATTGTATGAAATGTTCTTTAATTATGGATAAGCCACTGATGCAAAGAATAAAAATTGTGTGGATACTTGAGCTATAGAAAATAAAATCAATATATGGTAGTCAGTCCTCAGGTTAACAAGGGAAATCAATGAAACAAATGTATTTTTATTAATTCACCTACCTAGGTAAAGGTTGCACAACTGAAATGTCAAGATCCTTTTCCTAGTAATCCTACTGGGATTTATGAAGGCATATGAATAAGGGCTTCTGGGATTAATCTCAAGGTCCATATGGGTATTTATAGAGAAAAGCATCTTTTCAAGTCATAGTCTCAAACACTAAGAGCTTTTACTATCAAAGCCAGCACTTTGAATTGGGCATATAAATAAACTGGAAGTCATGATAGTTATAAAATGATCAAATGGTAAAATCCCAGATAATATTTAGTATTTCTCCTATTGCATATTTAGCATGCTAAACCAGAATTAGGCACCTAAGAAAAATTGTATTTCAATCAATAGACAAAGAATTTCATTTACCCTACAGACCATGAAAGAAAATCGTGTTCCCTAATGATTTTATTGTCTGGACTTTTTCCAGATGTTTGATTTATCCAATAAGAACTTGACACCTCATTTGCTTGTCTGAGCTTGTAAAATAAGTAGGGTTAGGCCTAGTAAGTACTTGGATGGAAGACCCCAAGACATTGTTTGTTTGTTTGTTTTAATTCCTGGGAAACAGGCTAGACTGGGCTACCTAAACAACATCCAGAAGAATGCAGTGACAAACCACTTTCATACTGCTGCCAAGATTTTTTTTATTTTCTGTAGATTTTTAAAATTTTGATAGGAGCAGATTTGTGACTCCATGTATATTTTATATAATTTTAATTTTTGTTATATATACCATGAGTATTTTTATGTATTTTTTAAGTGTTGACTATTGTGTAAACTGCTCTGAATCTGTTTTGATTCAATGATAATAAAACTGAACAAATAAAATGAACGAACGAACGAATGAATGAATATCACACACATATGAAAGGAGACAAGCCCATCATCTTGGAATAATCGCAGAAATAGACTTTTCCCACTTGACATCACAATTTGCTTTATTTTATTGTTGGGGCAAAGTTCCATGATCACAGGTATTCTTTATCTTCTTTATTTTTATCTTTATTTGATTTATATACCGCCCTACTCCCGAAGGACTCAGGGCGGTGAACAGCCAAACGATAAAATACATAAATACAAAATTTAAAAACAGAATAAAACCAAATTAAACAATTTGGCCCAGACAGATTTAAAACACCCCAATCATTTAAAAACAGGTTAAAATTTTCATATTAAAAGAAAAAGGGAAAAGATTAGGCCAGGCCCGCCTGGTGGAATAAAAAGGTCTTGAGAGCGCGGCGGAAGGTGCGCACTGAGTATTTTGTGTATTCCACACTGAGAATACACAAAACAAATAAGTGGATGCTAAAACAAGGGTACTACTTATTCTTTCAATAATTTGGAAGATCACAGGCACATGTCAAATGGACATAAGGAAGTACTCCCTAAATTGGTAAAGGAAAACAGAAATGAATTGAAGGGAACATTTCCATAGTGATGATCAAAACTGTAGGATATTCTAAAGTCTATTAAGAAATGGGTGTATTCTGAAAAAAAAAAAAATCAGTGAATTTGCTTGGGAAAGGGAACATTGTACCTTAAGTTTTTCACCTCCCAGGAAGCAATACAAGAAAATAACAAGACCCAAAATAATATATTAAAAATGCTGTCTATCACGATAAAATAAAATGATATATTTTCTGATACTTTAAGCTATTCTAATGTTTCTGAAGTTCACAGGTTGAACTTTAACCAGAACCCAATATTGCTGTTCAAAGTGAGGAATTATAAAAATGCTGTTTAAATGTAAGAATACTGTCAACTTTTAATCAATATTATTCATATTGCTGTTTGAAATACTGATTAGTGAGTTTGCTATTTATTTCATTGTATTAAATCCTGTTTGTTCCAATTATGCTCATTTTTACCATTGCACAGCTGGTATCCCAGTCACAAATGCAGTATTTCTTTCCAGTTCATTACACTAAATCAAATTTACAAATTTCAAAAAGCTGTGAGCTGATATACACTCAATAGAGCATAAGTCCCAGTTAAATTTGTGGGAGTTTTTTTTTTAAAGTAGTAGTTTTTAGGTAGTTGGAAAGGTCTAGGTCAGGGATGTCAAACTCAATTTAATTGAGGGCCACATCAGAGTTGTGATTGACCTTGGGAGGCCGAGGTGGGCATGGCCAGCTTGACATCACTCATGTCAGGGGCGCCTGTGATGGCCCGAGCACTCTGACAGTGAAAACGGGCTCCCGAGCTCAGTTTTCAGCTACGACAGCCTCCTGCAGCCCTCTGCCACCGAAAACGGAGCTTGGGGGGGGGGGGCTGTGCTCAGCCTTCCCAGGCCCCATTATCAGCTGTGATGGCCTCCTGCAACCCTCTGCCTGCGCCCCCCCCCCAGCTTCTTTTTCACTGGCACAGGCACTGTGGGCTGGTCCTTCACTGTTTCCAGCAAAGCACCCAGCAGGCCAGATCCATCCCCCGGGCCTTGAGTTTGACACCCCTGGTCTAGATACAGGAATAGAATCCTTTCTCCCTGACATATTTCAAAGACTCTGAACAATAACATTTGCAGGCTTCATACAAACGAGGAGTTTAAATCTAATACTGCATCAGAAGCTCTTTCTATACAGTGAATTAATGAACAGTACTGATGAGACCAATTGAAATTGGCTAGGCTCCCATGTGTTCAGTAATCACAAAAACAAGAACCTTTGGAAATAGAGGTGAGGCTTTGCTTTTGCCTTACTGATGGGTCATGTAAACTTTTCCCTCTTTTATTTATTACATTTTTTCACCCTGGCTCTCACTAGTTGAGAGCAAAACTCATTCTAATCCCAGATCAGCAAAAGAATCAGAGACGTAAGAACACACTAATTATTTCTGGAAGAATGGTTCTTGATAAGTTTTTATCTCTGTATACTAATCTGTGTACAAGCAAAAGTGATATTTCATGAATAAATATTCACTAGGAGGCCCATTTTACACCTTTATCCATATCTAAATCTATTTTGGAGGATTGGGACACATTCCATAAAAGTGGAAGGATGAACAGAGAGAGGGAACATTCCATTCTGTGAGTGAAAATCAACTGACATACTGTTGGATGATGCCGAACCTTGAGAACTGGTGTTTTTTTTAAGTAGCCATAGCAAAAGAGCAGTTTGAGGTCCTTGGTGCTGTCTAAGCTTGGTTGCTTTCTTGCAGACATTTCATTACCCAACTAAGTAACATCATCAATCCTAGATGGTAATGAAATGTCTGCAAGAAAACGACCACGCTCAGAGCACACCAAGGACCCAACCCCGATCTACAAATATTTCTAAAGGAGCACTTCTTACCTTCTAGAGATGAAAGCTGCCGCTCGGCTTCTAGGTATAACTGTGAAAAAATGGGCCTTGGGACTAAATTACTGGATCGGAGAGAAGCTTCAATAGAATTATGCAACACTTCTTCAAAACGTGTTGAGTTAAGTTGCCCCGCATAAGAATTTCCCATCTTCTTGAAGAATGAATCAGAAGGGGTGAATTATAATTATTCCACCTAAACAAGAGAAGATAGAGGGGACTCGATCAACATTTGCTTTAATAAAATTTGGAAACACAAGAAATTTCAAAGGAATTGTTTCTTCTAAGAAAAAAAGTGAATTGACCCAGTAAAAAATGATGCAAAGCTGACAGCATGAATTATACAGTTCCTCAATACATGCGAGGAACTTATGATAATAGGTTTCTGTAATTCATCAGAGAGGCATTCTTAATATTGACAAAAACAAACTGTTGATCTACCATTAGGCATTGGGGAAATCACTTCTTAAAGCAGTTTTTTTTAAGCATTATATGATGTTGCTTACTATCTATCAAATTAAATGATTATGTCCATTATCTCCTGTACCTCGGTAATATACATTTAATTTTAAATACTGCCCTCCAAACACATTTCTAGGGTAATTCACATAAAGCAACAGTCATAACAAGACAATATATTAAAATATGAAATGAACAAAAGTATACATCTGAACGACTGTAAGGTTAAACAGAAAGCAAAGAGGTAACTTTGGAAAGTTTTGTTTAAAATAAATTCTTCCTTGGCATCAGAAAGGTAACTCCATCAATATGAGACAAATTTCTATGAGGGACAATTTCTATAGCTAGTGTCATGAATAAGGCTGTCTCCCTGGTTATCACCTGCCTAGCCTTAGCTGATGGGGATATGTGACTGATACTTTTAAAATATCACCTTAGGCATTACATCTTCTACTTAAAGACAATATATCTTCCATGCTGAGGATTAGAATCATTCTTGCCCATCTGTACAACACAGACAGATTTTCAACACACTTCACACCCTTTGCCACTGATCTTCAGAAGATCATCAGCTTAGAGCAGTGATGGCGAACCTATGACACTGATGTTTTGAGTGACACGCTAGCATTCACCAACACAACTATTCTCAAAAACACACCCTGTTCTGAGGTGATTTTTGGAGGCTGCAGAAGCCATGTGAGACTGGGGTCTGCTCTTGCATGGCCTCTGAAAACGAGTTTGTTTTACTCACATGTTATTTTTTGTAATTATTTGACATTTCTTTATATTATATATAGCACCATACAGGTTTTGGACTGTATTTTTTAAAAATAAATGAACATATAAGAGTTTATTGGCAATGGGAAGGAAGGAAGGAAGGAAGGAAGGAAGGAAGGAAGGAAGGAAGGAAGGGACAGAGGAACATCCCAGCAGAGTCAAGTTAGGCATTTTCTGAATTTTTGACACACTGAGCCCATCACTGGCTTAGAGGAACCACTGCAAAGTCAGTTTCCACTGTGGAAATCACAGCATCACCGTTCTCTTACCCTTTGGAGGGTTGCCCTTCCCTCCTGAAGTAAAGGCATTGTGGTACTTGGCCACCATCCCCCCCTATTTATTTTCCAGGTGTTGTGAAAGGCATCTTTGCCAAGCTGTGAATGGACAGCCTGTTTGTGACTTACTATTTTTTCTTGCAGTGACCAATAAGCACAATGAGAGAATAAAGAAAGGGCATGGCCACAGCTAGCTCATGCTTTGGCCAGTTGGACAAGCCCTAGCCACCTTCTGCACGTCAAGATGAGGCATTTGCCAAGCTCCTCACAGCAGCACAACAACACTGTTTCTTGTTGAAGGGTGTATTCATGTGGAAGAAGCCTCTGGAAAGACTTTCGAGGCAATCTGCTTAACACAGAGGTGTTGTTCAAGTTCACAGGGTATCATCTATTTTAAATACTGAGCCAGGGTGGTTAAGGTCCTGGACTAGAACTAAGCAGACACAGGTTCAAGTCCAGCCACAACCTTGGAGGTTCACTTCACATCAGTCACTTTCATCCTAACCTATCTCACAGCAATGTTGTTATGGCAAGGAAGGGTTGGCATGCCACTCTGTATCCTAGAGGAAAAGCAAACTTATTTATTAGATTTATATCTCATCTTTAAAAATAAAACCCAAGGCAGCCTGGATAGTACTACTTCCTCCTTACATTTTTCCACAACAATCACCAGATGAGGTGGGTATGACTGAGAGAATGTGACTCACTCCTAGCTTTTAAGAGAGGATTAGAACTCATGGATCTAGAACCATGAGTTTCTAGCCTTGTACATCATCATCGCACCAAACACCAAGTAAGCAAGCAAATGTATTTCTGAAATTTATCTCTAAATTTCAGAAATATCTACCCTCCCTCAAGGCATTTGGTAACCTTTTTCCAAACATGTTTGCCAATGAAACCCATTTTCCACATTCACATTCAAGTTCATAACCCATAAATGAGATGTTGGAAGACAATCAGGCAACCAATGTGTGCAGAGCAGCCCTTAGATATGAAGAGCTCATTGGATTCATTTCACCTTTTACCATTTCCAAGCTTGAAGAAAGCCTAATAAAAATAAATTCCAGACACAGTAATTATCCAACATCGTCTGCATCTACTTCAGGCCCAGGAAGCAGCCGGCTGGAGCACAAACCGTGTTAATGACAACATCAAAGCACTTGCCTGCACTTCCACGATATAAAAATTTGGGACAACTCTTGTTTAACAGTCCAAGAGGCAGAAAGATATATGTTGGTGGCCATGAATGTGCCAGCTAGGTCATAAAATGGCACCCAGAAGTTTGGCAGGCTGATGGGCCTCATTTTCTTGCGCTATTGAACTCTGTATCAGATTTATGTCTTTTAGGAGCTCTCAGACACAAGCGGAGGTGGGGGAAGCTGTTTCAAATGTCTGTGAAATTCCAAACAATGATCAGAATCGACTATCTCTATTCAAAAAACTCCAGCCAGCCGGAAGTGGGGACAAGAGAAAGGCTGATCTCCCCATAGCAATGGATGAAAGGAATCCCAGCACTTTACTACTTGCTGCAGGACAAACATGGAGGAATTCTATAAACTTCGGCTAAGAAGAACACGAAGTATATTTCTAATACTTCACAATCATAAAAAGGTAGGGAGAAGAAAGCCACACTAGAGTTGATCCCTGCTGAAGGTGGTGGCGATGCAGTGTTGAAGAACATACCAGGATTACAGGATGGCAATTTACAAATATGGTGATCGGTTTTTCCCAACTGTGATGATTTTTTTCAGATGATTTTGGCTACAACCCATTCACAGGAAATTACCAAGCTATTAGTCTATCATATTGGGAAAACACCAACTGTTGTCCTTTCTTTTTCTTTCATGCCCAAATTAGAATTTTGTGAGGTAGAGAGAAGCAGACTCCAGCAAATTTAGTTTATTGTGGCCCCATGTTTATGTTTATGGTCTGCAACGTGAAGAAACAGATGATAGAGAAGTGAGTCACCGTGGTGATGGTGGCTCTGCTTCTACTGAGGCATGGAAGTCAAATTCAAGTTCAGCCACCACAACTCTTAGCCAACTCAATTTGGTTTTTGAAGGGGAACTATGTGGACCCCAGCTTTGTACAGCCTCATAAAATTGCTATAGCCAGTGGCAGTGGGAAAGAAATCTGGATTAAACAAAAAAACACAGCACCCTGCTCATTTTTATTCAGGTTAGAAAAGGAAACATTTCATGTGGTGGTGAGCAACTTAATTTCTCGTTGCTTAATCCTCTGCAGTTTAAAATGTAATGGCTTCCCTGTGTAACCTGAACTAACCAAACTGGGAGTGAAAAAGCAAGCTTGCTCTTCTCAATTCCTCTAAGATAAGTGGGCTAAAAATCTTCATGTGATTAAAAACTTGTATAAAGGAAACAGCAGTTCCATTCCTATTCAATATAAAAACACCCAAAGTACACCTTAACATCAGATGAAAGAGAGAACTACTCTTACAGTTTGGGTTTCAAAAGTGCTATTTAGATCTCTTTTCTACTTTGCCCCAAATAAACACACATTCACCAAATATAAGCAAGGGCAGGCTTGAGCTCGTATCTCTAGCATCACATATGTGAACAAGAAAGATCACTGCAAGGACGTAGTTATCTGTATATACCAGGGCAGGGGTGAAATCCAAAATTTTTCCCTACCGGTTCTGTGGGCATGGCTTGGTGGGCGTGGCAGGGGAAGGATATTGCAAAATCTCCATTCCCACCCCACTCTAAGGCCAGCCAGAGTTGGTATTTTCCGGTTCTCCGAACTACTCAAAATTTCCGCTACCGGTTCTGTAGAACCTGTTAGAACCTGCTGGATTTCACCCCTGTATCAGGGGTCTCCAACCTTAGCGAATTTAAGCCTGGAGGACTTCAACTCCCAGAATTCCCCAGCCAGCAAAGCAAAGCTGGCTGGGGAATTCTGGGAGTTGAAGTCCTCCAGGTTTAAAGTTGCCACTGTTGGAGACCCCTGGTATATAGGACTGGAAGGTTTTATTTCCTGATGGATTGAAAAACCCCAAAATACACATGCCCATTTCACATTTCTAAACAGAGTGGGACCAGTGGACCAGTGGTGGGTTGCCCTTGCTTCGCTCGCATGCGCGCGCGATCCCGTTGCGAACCGGTGGTAAAGGTAAGTAGAACCCACCCCTGCAGTGGACATATGAATGTTAGTGGCATGGCTGGTGGGCCTGATCCTGAATGGATGATGGAGCCACAATGAAAAATGCTATAAGTAAATTCATTCCTTCTCTTTCAAATGTTTAAGCTAAATATTCTGTTCCTTATGCAGCCCAAACAACCACTAGTTGACAAACGGTGGAAACGGTTGCAGGCTTGGGGGCAAATCCACCATCTGGCAAAAAAAAAAACCAACCTGATTATTTTGGGAATATTGCCAAGGAAAAACCTCAAAACACATCAATGTTCATGCAGCTATAAAATGATGGCAACTCTATGTGAAGCTTCAGTAATGGACTGTAAACTACTAGGGTGGGGGGGATTTTTTTTTTTTTTTAATTTAGTGTTGAGAGAGTTACAGGGCCAACTCACCCCACTGGCTTCTATGCTGAAAGATTGACTAAAACCTGGCTTTCCCTGCTCCTAGTTTCAACACCCAAATCCCTGTAGCACGCTGGCTTTCAAAGAGATAGAGAGAAAATTTTCTTTTAGTTGAACTTGACTTCTGT